CCCCTTTCCCTATCCCCCCCTTTCGTCCGGCCCGACAGAGGGGGGGGCGGCGGCGGCGGCGCGCGCCGCCAACCGAGTACAGCCGGCCCTGATCGGGCGGGACACGCGGAGAGGGCACGAGACCCTTTCCGAGGGCCACACTGCCACAGGAATCTGGGAAGCATGGGTCGCGAGACACAGGACACGAGGGCACCCTTGATTTGGCAGTTGGCAGGGTCGACCTACTAATCACTAATCCGGGCCGACTGTACCGACGCTCTGGAGGCGGAGGCGGCGGCAGCTGCGACGGCCAGGGCAGGGGCCGGGGGAGGGGGGGTGGGCGGCGGCGGCGGCGCCACATTCGTCTTCGGGCTGGTGCGGTGGCCCGCCGACAGCCAGCGCTCTGGCGGGCACCGCTGGCTTTTCGCGCGCGGGGGGTCGGAAAAGGAGGGGCGGAGGAGGAAACAGGGAAGGGGAGGGAGCAAGAAGGAGAGGAGGAGGAGGAGGAGGAGGAGGAGGAGGAGGAGGAGGAGGAGGAGGAGGAGGGAGAAGAAGAGGAGGAGCGCAAGAGGAGGAGGAGGAGGAGCAGGAGGAGGAGGAGGAGGAGGGAGAAGAAGAGGAGGAGAATACGCAGGAGGAGGAAGGAGGAGTGAAAGGAGGCGGAGGGGAAGGGGAAGGAGGAGGGAGGGAGAAACCTCGGGCCCGAAGGCTTGGGGCCCAGGGCCACGCGCGGCCGACCCGCGAGCAAGGCCGCCCGCGCCATTCCCAATGCCCTGCATGCTGACCGTGAGCCGCAATGATCACGTAGATTTTTTTGTTTGGCGACGTGGCGATGGCATACCGTCGGCCTTGATTGGACAAGACACGCGAGAGGACAGAAGACCCTTCCGGGGGGTTGATGCAAATGAGAGCGGGCGAGGGAGGTGGCCTGACCACGTCCAGCCAACGTTCCCCCGTGAGCCAGGATCCCTGGATGGACAGCGCCTTCAAACGGCAAACACCAAATCCCCATATAAATGTCAATGGCCAGGGCCAACAGTCGGAGCGGGCCCTTAAATTCAACGGCCGCGTCTATCAGGTCTCGCAAGCAGACCTGGTCATCACACTTCTTCATGTCGAACAAAATGCCCCCGACCTGGAGGTCGCTCAGGAAGGCCAATTCCGTTTCAGGCTCATCGAGCCAACCGGCAACATCCGCCGTGCCTCCCGCGGTCTGGCCCGAGAGCCCACGCGCCTCACGGCCCCGCGCCGCGACGACAAGCTTCCTGATGCACAAGAGAAGGGTGTAGACAAGGCTGAGCAGCGTAATGGGTGCTTCCCCCCCATCGGGCTTCGGGATGAGGACAATAAAAGCAACGAGCTGCTGGAACGGCAAAGTACACTGCTCTTCGACGTCTTCGAGCAGCTGGATTAAGTGCAGCTTGGCATCATCACTGGCCTCCTTAAGTAGCGTGGCTCGGCAAAATCCAGGCCTTGCCCGCTGGCATCTGGCACGGACTTGATTGAGCCCGCGATTGAGCATCTCCAAATCGATTGGCGGCAAGCGCGGGGACGACCGAGCACCCTTACGCAAGGCAGATAACGCAGCTCGCGACTCATCGTTGTCACGACGCTGCTAAATAGCCTTCCAGGCCGCAGCTTCGAAATGCAGAAAAGCTGGCCGAGGGCAGGGCAGGGCCCTTCATCGCCGATCTTCTCGGCCGCCAGAGGGTCCAAGGGAGGCTCGAGCAGCCGATGGGCGGGCCCCGCGGACCTGGAAAGCTCCCCCTGGGGCCAGGCCTTCCACGACGCCCTCTAGGCCTGGAGAGCGTCGCGGTTGGATTTTCCAAACAATGCAGGCCATCGCAGGCCGCGACAGAAATCTGCTGAAACCTTATCTTCCACAAATTGAAGGCGCCACGCTGACCGGCATCAGCAGGGTCAGACGGGGGCGGCGGAACCTGCCGAGAGAGAGAGAGAGAGAGACAGAGAGAGACAGAGAGAGAGAGAACAAAAAAAAAAAGAGAAGAGAGAGAGAGAGAGAGAGAGAGAGAGAGAGAGAGAGAAAGAGAGAGAGAGAGAGAAAAAAAATATAAATAAATATATATATATATATAGAGAGAGAGAAAGAGAGAGAGAGAGAGAGAGAGAAAGAGAGAGAGAGAGAGAGAGAGAGAGCCAAGCCAAGCCAAGCCAAGCCAAGCCAAGCCAAGGCGGCACGATACTGTTCGGCATGCTTCCGGTTGGGATGTGGCGGGACGCCCTCAATGGAACCCTCTGGAACAAGCTCGAGCAACAACTTGACCTTGGCGAGCGCGGTGAGCCGGGAGCGGGCCTCCCGATCGGCCCGGCAGGGCCCTTCAACCTGGGCAGCCGCGAGGGGAACCAAACGCAGCCTGGGCTGGCACCGCCCGACGCAGTGGAGAACCTGGGTCTGGTCCAAGCCGAGCTTCGAAAAGGCCCCGAGCTCAAGAGTGACGACCCAGGTCGAAAGCTGGGACCCCATAGAAAGGGAAGCCCGAATGTTGTCATGCTCGAGCTTGAGGGGGCTGGAAGCGGCATGGTTGGCCTTGAAGAAGCCTGGCCGCTTGCGCGGCAGCGCGCGAGCCCGCGCTAAGAAGCGCGCCCAGGCTTCACGAGGGGCAGCCACGCCTTTAACGTGGATGGGCTCAGGTCGCATAGCCTTCCAAACCTCGGTGGCCCTAGGGGGCGCAATGGCGCCGAACTCCAAAGCAGCGCGGGCGCTCCGGGGCACCGCGACCAGCGACCTAAATTCAACTGCGCTGGGAAATCTAAAAGAGACCAGCGCGTAATCGACCCGACTGGCAGAGACGCCCGAGCAGGTGGCAGAGCCCCCCGGCATGGGAACAGGGGCGAGGCCGAGGGGCTCCAGCCAACCTGGCCGCTCAAAAACACTTTGGTCAACCTGCCAGTCACCGACCACATAAGCAGGTACTCCCGCCGCGCTCAGGTGGGCACCGAGGTCCGCCGGCAACTGAGGGTTCTGGCCAGCGAGCTCGCCTGCCGCGATCAAGTAGACGGGCGCGATGGTCAGAGAAGCCTTTCGCAGGCGGAGCGCACGCCAGAACCAGCGCGCGGCGCCAGCAGATGTCCATCCCCCAGCCCCACAAGCAAATGGAGAAAGTCCTAGATGAGAGCGAGCCGCCACTAAGACACCAGGGGAAGCGTCACCAGCCATCGTCGCCTCGGCAGGCTGGGCCACGACCTTCCAGCCAAGCTCGTGCAACCTCCCGAACATGGCCTGGCACTTGGAGCCTCGCATCCTGCGCTCAATGAAGACGACGACGTCCGCGCGCTCCGCGACCAAACGACAGGCAGTGGGCCCTCATGCGCTCATGGCAGAATAAACCATCGAAAGAAAACGCTGGGGGCTCGACTCCCTGCCAGGGTCACCATCAGGGCATTGGCCATTGTCATCATGCGCATCCAGCAAAACAGGCTGGCCGCCCCCTCCGCTCGGCACATCGCAAGGCGATTGCTCCAACCTCGTGGGCCCCCGAGAGGAGGTCGGCTGCCCTGCGACGAGAACCTGGCGCGCCAGGATTTCCAGCAGCGCATGCAGGAGCGCCGTAAACATCTGGAGCACGTAACGCCGGCACACCGCCAGGGCTAGGCGGTCGCCATCATTGGCGCCCAGTAAAACGGGCTAGCCGCCTCCTTCACTCGGCACATAACAAGGCGAATATGCCAACCCCGCGGGCCCCCGGGAAGAGGGCGGCTGCCGCGCGACGAATGAACCTGGCGAGCCAGGATTTCCAGCACCGCCGACAAGAGCAGCCCCATCACCTGGATCACGCCGCTCATGGACTGCATCGAACTCACCCTCGGCCTCAATCATGGAGCGATCTTGTCGTAGAAACTGCTGTTCCCATGCGCCAGGATCAGCTTGGGGGAGGCGCATCATGCTGCGGTGGTACCTCGTCCTCGCACTCCGTCTCGACCTCTACGCAGAAAGACAGATATCCTGGTCCCTGTCAAGTCTCATGATCGCAAAATTCTCGATGCCAGATATAGCCGCCTGCTCCATGGCGGGGGGCAGAAACGCAGCGCGAGACAGCAGTTCCGAGGCATGAGTGACACGCGAACGCATCCCGTGAGCTTGATCGCCAGGCTCAAAGAACCCACTCAGGTTCTGGAGCCAAAACGCGGTGCAATACCGAAGCCGACGCTCATGATGAATGCGGCGAAGGATCGCCGCCCGCCGCCCAGGGTCCTCATCCTTGCAAGAGAGGAAGTCCGAGAAACCAAACTGGTGGGCCGCGTACCCTTGGGAGATAGGGCCCGCCCCCTCTGCGGCGGCACCTTCCTTGTCGCGCGCCAACTGGAGCCTGCGAGGCAGAGAGCCTGCCCATGAAGCAGTAGAGCTTGAAACCGATGAAGCAGGTGCCGACACCGACGCAGAAATGGCGGGGCTGGCCGCGCATGGGGCGTCGTCTGCCGTGCCTCCAGCAAGGCGCGCGCCGCGGGATCCCGCGCCGAGGACTCGGCCAGGCCAGCCTGCGGCAGGTTTCGCCCGCGGTCATTGCCTTCTCAGGCTCGGCGAATGAGCGCCCATCGCCTGGAACCGAGGAAGAGGAAGCACAAGATGATGATCCAGGGCAAACTCCGTAGGACGAAGACATGGGCGTCGTCGAAGTGGACGGATACGAAGACAGGAAAGAAACCGACGAGGCCGAAACCGTGGAGCCGTGCTCCGACGCACTGCATGTAGAACCGTCGTCGGACTCATGGTTTACTACGTCCAATAGCTTACCCGCCAAGCGCACCACCAACCTCATCCTTGGCCTTGCGCGAGGCAACAACGGCACGACACAAGGTGTCGGCGCGGGCCTTCTCGATCCGCTTCTCCTTGTCGGTCTTCTCGACTGGGGCAGCTGCGTGAGCCCGAGGCGCAGCCCGGGACGCAGCGGATGACTGAGAGGCTATTGCGCCCTGGCAGGCAGTTTGCACAATCAGAAAGTAGCGCACCAGTCGCAACCGAGCCGCCGTCAGTTTTGCACTTCTTGCGCATCTCACCCATCCTCTTCTGGTACTCGGCCTGGTGCGTCTGGAACTGGGCCTTGATCGACATGAGCGCATCGTGCAGAGAAGGGTCTTGACCTGCTTCGACTGCTCAAGCTTGAACTTCGCTAAACCATCGCGGTCCTCTTGCGTGAAAGCGGGCCCAGAGACATCAAGGTCGTCGCCGAAATCCAGCTTGACCTCTCCGGCCGAATCCTTAAAGAGAGCGTCAAGCGATATGACGTCCTTGATCGACGGCACCGTATCCTCAGGCTCGAGAGCCCCGACGGCCAGCGTACGAGTGGCCTGCTCAAGTAGCGTAGCGTTCTCGAGATCCTTCGCCATGAGCTCATCAAGCAGCTTGTCGAGAGAGCTCATCAAGCAGCTTGTCGAGATCACTGGTTTCCTTGTCCAAGGCAGCACGGCGCGGTGGGGCCTTGTCAAGCTTTTCCTGGGAAGCCTTCTTGGCCGAGGCTGCCTTCTGCTACTCGGCCTGGGGAGTGACATGAGGCTGGGGTTGGGCACAAACTGCGAAAGAAGTTTCTGGGCCAGGTCAAGAGCGAGATGCGAAGCAGCCTCATAGATTGCCTCGAGAGCCCGCGGAAGAAGGGCGTCGCTGGAGGGCTGCGGCAGCTGCGGGAGCTGCTGGGCAGCCTCGTCCTCCTTTAGGCTTGCCACCCCCATCGCCGCACCACCCACCGTCCGCAACCGAGCACTGGAACTTGCAACCGACGCAAACTGGCGAGGTCATTCCACGTCCAATGACCACAAAAGCAAACAGTGTACAACCGAGCACCACGAACCTGCCCAGCCTTGCACGCGGAACTCGGATCCAAAGCTGCCTTGTCCAAGTGTCATCCGCGTCGTCGCAAGGGGTGTGCCACGGGACTGGAACCATCGCGGCGCCGTAGCAACTAGCTCCGTCAGGAGCACACGAAAGATGGGCTGCAAGAAAGCCCGTGCGGTACTGGCAAAGCTGTCAGGCTCAAGGCCTTGGCACTGCTGCGGACTAGCAGCCTCCAGTTCGGCACGAGGGCGCAGAGCCATCAGCTGCAGACATCTGGAGCCAAAATGGCTACGGAGGAGGAGGAGGAGGATGCAGGAAGAGAAAGAGAAGGAGAAAGAGGAGGAGGCAGAAGGGGAACAGGACGATGAGGAGGAGGAGGAGGAGGAGGAGGAGGAGGAGGAGGAGGAGGGGGGGTGGGGAACAACTACGAGTGCTGGCCAGCGAGCTCCGGGCACCCGCCCGGCTGCGCGCCAAGATGGCCGGCATCCTGCAAGGGCACCACGGGCCGAGCCGGAGTCGGTTGTCGATTGACGCGTAGGCGACGCCCAGGGAACGAGCGCAGCGGTGGAGGGATGAGGAGAGGAGGATGCGGAGGAGATGAGCAAGGAGATTTGAAGCAGTTTGGCAACACCTGACGTGCCACCCCGCTCGCGGGCAGCCCCACCCAGGCAGCCCGAGGTTCGCGTGGCCGCCAGATATCCTCAATCCCCCCATGGTCCTTCTTCGTCGTCCTCTCTCTCCTCATTCCTTTTGTCGCGGATGCCGACGCATCCCTCGCATGCCGTGCTGCCCGCACCGACCTTTAGCCACGTATGACTTTGCCTTCAGTTCCTGACGACGACGTCCTGAGGGGTTGGAGGTTAGTGTGCTGGAGGATGGAGGAGGCATTCGAACGCACCACGTTTCATCAGCGCTCGCATCACAGCTGACAACCGAGGCGAATCACCCACCTGCATCAAGGTGCGGCCTAAAGATTGTGGGCATGGGGGCTATGGCGCTGGGGGGGGGCAGAGGCAGAAAGAGGTTCTGGCTACAAGCATGCGATCTCAAGAACAAGCGACACCAACGCAGCCTGTGATGCAGCACAGTTGCTTGTAGCAGTCTCTGAGGGCATCTTTAACTTCGCCCTGTACTGACCTTCAGGCGGAGTGGTGCGAATGTGGGCGGAGCGGCGGGGGGGAGGTATTGGCATGGGGGGTGGAAGTGGACTACCTTGCCAACGCCTGCAGATCTAATGCTCTATACCCTCGCGTGTTCTGTTCCTCTTCGCACATCCTGCGCCGCTGTAGTCTGCACTGAGGTGATGCTATTGCCCACCTGACTTTCTCATACACTCTCTAACGTTTCCGCAGAGAGGGGCGCAACAACCCCGCCGCTGATATTGACCTAACGTAAGAAAAGAGAAAGAGGGGAGGGAGGCGGACGGGGAGGGCAGCAGAGTGAGGACAATGAGGTTGATTATGGAGGAAGTATACTGAGGAGGAAGAGGATGAGGAGGGAGATGACGAGGCAGAACAGACGGAGGAGGAGGACCAATGTACACCCAAGACGCGTCAATACTGTTGCGAGAAGCCCTCCTTATACGTTTTTTCATATATCCCTACATGAGATGTGTTTCATTGTGGGAGGTGCCCCAGTGGAGGACGGAGGACCGCATGGTAATCCAAAATCGTGCCAACCATCCCAAGGACGTCAGCGCCGCGAATCAGCACGATTGCTGCGCCCTGACAATCCTGAACCGTGCCAAGACACCATTCTTGGGACTACAACACCGCGAATCAACGTGACTGTTGCGTCTTGACGATTCGAACCGTGGCAGAACACAACTCACCACACGAATCCTTTCTCGACTCTAAGGCGAGAGCCGCAGTTTGAATAGGAACCGCCATCAACCCTTGAACAAGAAATGTGCGATAACCACACTGTGGAAGGGAACCGCCCTCCATCCTTGAAACGGCTGCAAGCTTTTAGGATAAATGCGCGCGGCGCCAGGGCGAGAGCCACGTTTTGAAAACTGGTCGCCCTCGAACCTTGAAATGATTGCAATGGCCTGAAACGAATGCGCGCGCGGCGATGCGAGAGCAGCATTTTGAAAACCAGCCGCCCTCCAACCTGGAAGCCTCTGGAAGCTACAAACTTCAGGGGCACGCACGGTGAGGAAGACTGAGGTCACACGCCCGGCCCGCCCTACTGGCACGCTCCGGGGGTGCGGCATGGAGCACATAAGAGGCGCCCTTATATATATACACACACACAACCACTGTAGTTGTATACAAGGACAGGGGAGGGAGGAGGAGGAGGAGGAGGAGGAGGAGGAGGAGGAGGAATGTGAGGGAGGAGGAATGGGAGGGGGAGGAGGGGGAGGTGGAGGGGGGCAAGGGGGGAAGGAGGTGGGTGAGGAGGGGAAGGAGGAGCAGGAGGAGGTGGGTAAGGAAGAGCAGGAGGAGGTGCATGAGGGTGGAGTGCGGATGGGGAGGGGGCAGGCAAAGAGGCGCAGGCAGCAGGTGCTGGTGGAGGGGCAGGGAGATGGGGGAAGGGAGTGGGGACGGAGGAGGGGCAGGAGGGGGAGGAGGTCGAGGTGGAGGGGTGGAAAAGAGGAACAACAACTGAGCTGAAAAGGGCCACCGATGCACGCTCTCTCGTAGGAGTGGCCGTCGGCGCAGATGACGGGGTCCTGAGCTCGCGGGACGGCGGGAGAGCTTCAGCGAGGGGATGGAAGCGAGCGTGGGGGCGAGGGCGAAGGGAGCGGAGGAGGGAAAGCGGGGGCGGGGGGGAGGAGGGAAGCTGAAGGGGAGCGGAGGGAGGGCGGGGAGAGCGGCGGGGGGGGGGGGGGGCGGGGCGGCAGAGGGAGCCGTGGGGATCCAGCGGGGGATGGCGGGGGGGGGAGGGGCGCTCGCACGGGGGAAGTGGACAGGAGGAGGAAGAGGAAGCCAAGACGCATCAACGACATTGCGATACACCCTCGCTCCAAGGTCCCTCTCCACAGGCCCCTGCACATATTCATTTTTACTGAGGGGCGTGCTCCGTTGGCAGACAACTGTTTGAAAATACGGAATTGTGCCAGGATGCCACAACTGGAGCATCAACGCCGCGACTCACCGTTACTGTTGCGTCTTGACGATCCAGGATCGTGCCAGAAAGCCGCTCCTGGGGCTTCAACAGCGCGGATCAACGTGACTGTTGCGCCCTGACATTCCGACACCGTGCCAAAACACCATGCCTGAGACGTTCACGATGAGAATCCTTGGACCTGCTGCAAACTCTTGAGACGAATGCGCGGCGCAACCGGCCGCCCTCCATCCGCGAAAGTCTTGCAAACTTTTAAAACGAATGTGCGCGGCGCTGAAGCGCGAACCACATTTTGAAAATGGTTCGCCCTCCATCCGTGAAACTGTTGCACATGTTTTAAGCGAATGTGCTCGGCACTTAGGCGAGAACGAACATTTGAAAAAGAACCGCCTTCAATCCGTGAAATTCTTGCAAGCTTTTAAAACGAATGTGCGCGGCGCTAACACGAGAGCCACAGTTTGACTACGGGCCACCCTCCATCTGTGAAGCTTCTCTTGTACAAGGTGTCTAGCGCTCCGACGACTTTATTTCGTCACGGCACCGGTCGATGCAGCCCCTAGGCCCCAACCTCCCAGCGCGCCCGTTCCGCATCCATTTTCTAAAGCAGCCATGCCGAAGCAGCCCTTCGGCCCTCCGCATCCCTCCCCCGCCAGCCAACGCAGCCAGGCCGCCAGCCAGCGCGCCCCCTCGGCACCGGTCCCACCAGCCAGCGCGCTCCTCCGCCCCGACCGCTGTATTCGGCACGGCACCGGTCCCACCAGCCAGCGCGCCCCTCCCCCACCAGCCAACGCAGCCAGCCCACCAGCCAGCGTGCCCCGTCCGCCCCGACTTCATTATTATCTTGCACAAGGTGTTTAGAGCTCCAACCACTTCACTTCGGCACGGCACCCCCTCCATCACCCACACATTCCACCAGCCAGCGCGCCCCTCCGCCTCGACCCTTTATTTCGGCACGGCACACCCCTCCGCCCCGACCCCTTCTATTTCGGCACGGCACACCGCCTCCGCATCCCCCCACCCACCAGCCAGCGCGCCCCTCCGCCCCGACCCCTTTTATTTCGGCACGGCACACACACACACCGCACCCCCCCACCCACCAGCCAGCCAGCGCGCCCCCTCCGCCCCGACCCCTCCATTTCGGCAAGGCACACACACACACACCGCGCACCCCCCTCCGCCCCGACCCCTTTATCTCGGCACGGCACACCCCCATGGCGTTTTTAACGCTAACGCGCCCCCAGGCAACTCATCGCTGACTTAGATGCGAAGCAGTCTCCAGCGAGGACGCCGCTCCTGAGTGCGGGGGCCTCTCTGGCCGGGGCGTCTCGGAGCAAGCGTTGTCATTTGGAAATCGGCGCGCGCTCAGCTCCGACGCCCCCCGCGGAGCAGGCGGCCGACGGTGTGGGGCCGGTACAGCCCCCGTCGGCCGAGACGCTCGTGGAGCCTCCTGGAGGCGAGGCGTTTGGGCTGGTTGGCTTGGTCTTGGAGGCGAGGCGTTTGGCCACGAGGAAGCATCGAGCGG